TCCAATAGAATTTTGCTCTCCCTCCTCTACCATTTTCTTCTCCTCTTCCACCATTTAGTTCTCTTCCTCCACCATTTTGTTCTCCTCCACTACAATTTTGCTCTCCCTCCTCCACTATTTTCTTCTCCTCTTCCGCCATTTAGTTCTCTTCCTCCACCATTTTCTCTGCTCCTCCACTATTTTCTTCTCTCCTGCACCATTTTCTTCTCCTCCTCCACCATTTTTCTACCTCTCCTACCATTTAGTTCTCTTCCTCCACCATTTTCTTCTCCTTCACTACAAATTTACTCTCTCTCATCCACTATTCCGTTGTCCTCTTCTACCATTTTGTTCTCTCCCTCCTCTACCAATTTTTATTCTTCATAACTGTTTTTCCTCATCTACCATTTTCATCTACTCCTCCTCCATTTTGCTTTTATCATTTCATTATCCATAAAAAATGCTAACTGCTATACAATATCAGTCTTCCAATATGGCAGTGAATGCTGACCAATTTATTCACAGATGAAAATGAGACTCAAAAGCAACAGAGAGGCAGTTCTACTGAAAGATTTCAAGAATAACTTTATCTGAACATGTGAGCAATGAGGAAGTTTTAAAGAAAATGTAAATGAAAATAACACTTTATTCAGAATATTCAGAGACTAACAGTTGAATTTTCTGGGATATGGAAGGAAAGAATGTGTGGAGAATTTGAAACTCATAGGACTTGTTAAAGGCAAGAGAAGCAAGGGAAAGATCAAGTCGCTTGCTTCATATGCTTCTGTAAATGAATGGTTGATGGAGAAGGGCTTCACTGAAGAGATAGAAAAACTCTTTCAAATTTATCATTATCTCGTGTGGATTCAACCACCAACATTTGAAAACAGAACCAGCTAACAGTAATATTTTGGTGTAAAATCTATCAGACAAGCCCACTTGCAAAATCAAGCTTCAAAAAAGGTAAAATGCAAAACACAAGAGGCAGTTTTATAAGACTAGAGTATCCATCGACTACCAAATCCTCTTTCACAATTAAATTTTTATTGAAATTGTTTATTTAATTTTTCTTATAACAACATCAATAATGATGATTATGATGATAATTGTAAGAACTTCCAGTCCCACTAAGGAATACTGGCAATAAATCTTACTCTGTAACCCTCTACATTGAGTGGCCCCCAGGCCTTGTTCAGGGTGAAAATGATTATAAAAAAAATTATCTTTCATTGCATGGATAGTCCAAAAATGTTATTCATAATATTGATAATACAATATTTTTTTCATAATATTGTTAATCCAAAATGGATCTCTATAATATGAATAATACAATATGTTTTTATAGTATGGGTAATCCAACATGTTTCTTCATAATATGGATAATCAAATATTGTCATTCATAATATTGATAATCCAACAAGGATCTTTGTAATGCGGGTGATACAAAAAGTTTCTTTGAAATGTGGGTAAACCAACATAGTTCATTATAATATGGATAATCCCACAAAGTTTTTAATTCTATGAATAATCCAATAGCATTCTTCATAATATGGATAATCCAACAAAATTCTTAATAATTTGGATAATAAAACATGGATCTCAAACTAATGGGGTCAGAAAATTGGTTGTACTGACAAAATCCCATCAACAGACTAATAAGAAGATGGGTGGTCCGTCAAAGCTGATTGTCTATAGATGGGAAGGGATTATTTTTGAGTTATAAAACTACTATAGTAATTATTATACAGTAGTTATAGTCATAATCTAAATACTATACACGTGTATATATGTCATAAATAAATATATAATATAGATATATTAATCAAAATAACAAAAATAATAGCTTTCTTACAGTTACTTATGCACATGCTAATGTATTATACTTTATATACTGTACACCCATCTTTGTTTACAATTGAAAGGCTGGCCACCACCACCAAGTGGTCACTTTGTGAATTAATATGATTCGTTCCGCTAAGCCCACAAATTTAGAAATACATTGCTGATGATTTGGGAGATTGCAGGCTTTTTGTATTTTGCCTGCAGATTTTGTCCATTGCATCTGAAGCCCATGGTCTGTAGATGAGAGATTTGTCTGTACTTAAATTGTACTTAAATTGGATTTGGTGACGTTTTTTCATTATTTTCTATCGTTCATATCCGTTTGAACATTTTCTTTTCTTTCTGTTCATATTCTTTTACTTTTCCTTCTCTTATTTTCCCCTCTTTTTAACTCATTATTGTCACCCGTTTTTCCATTTTCTCTTTTTTGTATTGACTTCTTATTCCTTTACTTTTCCTTCTCATATTTTCCCCCTCTCTTTAATGTATTATTTATCACCCTTTTTCTGTTTTCTCTCTTTCATAATGATTTCTTAATTTTTTTTACTTTTCCATCTCTTATTTTCCCCTCTCTTTAATTCATTATTTTTCACCCTCTTTTTGTTTTCTCTCTTTTATATTGATTTCTTATTCTTTTACGTTTTCTTCTCTTATTTTCCCCTCTCTTTAATTCATTATTTTTCACCCTCTTTTTGTTTTCTCTCTTTCTCATTAATTTCTTATTCTTTTACTTTTCTTCACTTATTTTCCCCTCTCTTTAATTCATTATTTTTCACCCTCCTTTTGTTTTCTCACTGAGAGCTTTTCTCTTTTTTATTTCTCTGTTGATTGTCCATTCACTTCATTTTTATTATGAAGAACTTTCGTACATATTTTGTGTTCTTGATTTTGTACTATTTTGTCTACAACAATTGCATTTTTCATCTTTACATTTTTCAAACATTATTCATTCTGTATTAGAGGCCTGTGCATATAAAACTGTATTTGTGTGCAAATGTAATTTCATTGGCATCTATTTTTATCTCTGCCTCATTTATATTGATTTATATGTTTATAATATTCATATTGATTTTTATCTTTGTATTACAAACACTGATTTTTGTCTGCATTATTTATTTATATGGTGGATATGCAGGTAGGATAATGATTTTCAGTGTGGAGTGAAAAATTGTTGTCAGTGTTCAACTTCTTGCAGTCTGTTTTATTTACATCGTATTAAGTCCCTTGAAAAAGACTGCAGTATAACTTCCTCTTACTCTGGGTTAAATAGTAGGGCAGATTGGGCTCACTTGCTTTTGGTGGCTGACTGCCTAGAACAAAATCTCAGAATTCAAAACTCTTAGAGTCTTGTGGGTACTGTGTGCAGTGTGCGCATTAATATTCATAGATGAAGCCATTTTGATCCTTTTTTGTTCTCTGAGTCATGTTGACCACTTTTTGTTCTGTGATCTGATGTTCTATTTGTCCATATTGATCTCTTCTTATGCTTTGATCCACATTGATCTCCTCTTATTATGTGATCTCTGTTGACTTCTTCTTGTTCTGTGACTTCTTGTGTTTTGATCTCTTTTGACTTCTTCATGTACCCTGAACCATGTTGACATCTTTTTTCTGTGATCCCTGCTGACTTCTTGTTCTGTGAGATTTGATGACTTCTTGTTCTGTGGCCCAGGTTCACCTCTTCTTATTCTGTGATATCGGTTGAATTCTACTTGTGCATTGATCCATGTTGACCTCTTCTTCTTCTGTGATCCTTGTTGACCTCTTGTGTTCTGATCCATGTTGACTTCTTTTTGTTCTGCAGTCCCTGTTGACTTCTTGCTCTCTTATCCATGTTGACCCCTTCTTGTTCTGTGATCTCTGTTGACTTTGTGTTCAGATCCATGCTGCTGTCTTTTTGTCCCATGATCCATGTTGATTTCTTGTTCACTAATCCATGTAGACTTCCTCTGTACTGGGATCCCTGTTGAATTCTACCTGTGCTCTGATCCATGCTCACTTCTTGTTCAGTGACCCCCTGTTGACTTCTTGTGTTTGAATCCTTGTTGATGACTTTTTGTTCTCTGATCCCTGTTGACTTCTTGCTCTCTGATCCATGTTGACTTCTTGCTCTCTGATCCATGTTGACTTCTTTTCCTGTGATCTATGTTGAGTTCTGTTTGTGCTCTGATTGACATTGACCTTTTCTTGTTCTATATATCCAGTTGACTTTTTCTTGCCCTCTGACTCATACTGATTTTTACTTGTGCTCTAAACCACATTAACCCTTTTATGTTCTCTAATTGATACTGAGTCCATTGTTCTCCATGTCATGTTGACCCTTTTTTATTCTCTAACCTGCATGAACTTCATGTTCTCTGATCCAAGTTGATCTCTCTCTATCTTTTAGAGTTAGAGATTCTTCCACTTCTATGTGCAATGTCCTTTCAAGTTGATAGCAATCATGGTTCTCTAGAATGTTCTCTCCTTTGTAAAATTTAATAGATTTTGTCTTTTTGTCATCTCTCATAAACCTTGTTCTGCCATCCATATACTCAAGCTCATTTTTTTCATTATTATGGCTCTCCACAATTTCCTGTCTGTTATAGTTTTTAATAAATTTTGTCTTTTTGTTATTTTGCCAAAACCTTGTTCCACCATCCATTTACTCAATCTTCTTCTTCTATGATTATGTCTCTCCACACTTTCCTGTCTATTGTAGCCTTTAATAAATGTTGTTTTATTCTTATCTCTTCTAAACCTTGTTCCGCTATCCATATACTCAAACTCTATAGGTAGGTTATGAATTGTTTTCCTCTGTTCCTCTTGTCTTCAATCTGTTCTGTGAGTATCAAATTTTCCAAACCCTCTTTCCTCATTAGGCACCCTATGCTGATATTAAGCATAAGTATCCTTTTTCTTTTCATTTTCTCTTAAATTTCGTCTCCCAAAGGAAAATGAGTTCATAAACATTGCTTTTACATTCAGGAAGATTTTTGAAGTTTTGAATTATTTGTAAAGATTTTTGTTGTATGCGTTAAAGGTTTAAAAATAAATTATTATTAAACACATAAACCTTATAGGTTGAATTTAATATATATTCTTTAAATGAATTCTTGCTGCCTAAATACAGGGGATGGATTGTCAGCACATGATAAAGTTCTTTCCCAACTCTTTGATGATACCTATGATTGTTATTCTCAACCATAAAAAATGGAGGGAGAAGTTAAGGAGGAATTTTGGAGGAAAGGAAGAAGGAAAGAAAGATGGAGGGAGAAAGAGTGGAAGGAAGGTGATTGGAAGGGAAGGTGGGAAATGAATAGACAGGAAGGAAGGAAGTAGTCATGGAAGATAGGAAGAGGGTGGGAAGAATATGATAATCTATGGAGGAAGGTAAGAGGAGAAGAAGGTGAGAAAGGAGAAGGAAGAATGGAGGGGTAAGAAGGGTATTGGAAAGGGAGAAGGAAAATAAAAAAAAAAAACAGGAAGGAAGGAAGGAAGGAAGGAAGGAAAGGAAAATAAGTGAAAAGTGGAAAGAATGGAGGAAGAAGACAAGTAGAAAGGTGAAAGCAGAAAAAGAGGGAAAGAAAAGAGGGGGAAGAAAAGGTGTGATTGTGTGTACATATGTATGTGCATATGTGTGTGTCTGTTAGTACTTGACAACATCCTTTTCCAACTCCTCCCATGACAATTGTAAGTGCTATCCTCTACCATATCTTGCCCATCAACACCTCTGTATTGTCTCTTCATGATGTTGTTCTAATTGCTCTTTTACTTTTTTATTTGTTACTCACTAGGCACTAGGCCTTTTGCTCCATCTGTTATCCTTTCTTTTTGCTACATGTCCTACCCATCTCCATTTTAGTCATTTTTTTATACCTCTTGGTATATTCTCTGATCCATGTTGACCTCTTTCTACTTCTTAATACCTTGTGTTACTTATTCATTGATTTTTTTATGTGGTTTTCATCTGTACATCATAGCTGCAAATTCATTATATAGATTATGTTTTAAATAAATTAGTCATTATACATCTGATTTTATCAGATGCTTCACAAATGTTAGCTATGAATATTTTATTTAATTGTTATTAGTTTTTTTTTATACCCCATTCCTAAGTAGATGTATTATTGGACACCTTCCAGTTCTTCATCTTCTTGTTTTATGATCTTTTCAAAACATTAATTTTGTTTTATTTCTGGTTATTTTCAAGCCTCCCTTGTGATTTCTTACATTTTTCTGAAGATTCTGCAATTAGTAAACTGTTGCACATCAATTGTAAGTGGTTCAAATAATCCATGTTTATACAAATTCCTATCCTTTCTAGGTTTGTTCATTCAAAGATAATTTGAAGATATGTTGTAATAATTTAGGCAAATAGATATCTACTTGTCTCACTTCATTCTTCAATCCTAGTTTTACATGTCTTTAAACAATAGAATTATTGCAGTACAAGTATCATATATGTTCTCAACAGGTTTTATATAATTTTGTTAATTAACTGCTTATATAGTGAGATAGAGTGTCAAGTGTTCTGCTGAATCAAATGCCTTTTCATAGTCAAAAACCCAACTAATATGATCTGTTATGTTGTTTTTTTAACTTTTTATCAGTTGTTTTTTTTTTTTTATAAATGGTCTACTTTTGAATAAACACTCATAAAACCCTGCATGCTCACATGGATAATTTTCACTTTGGGTGTTTGTTAGCTTTTATTTTAGGGTATTTTATATATCTTATGATAGTTGCCAATGTCTTCATTATCTAATATTTTAGAATGTAAAATTACTATTCCTAGACTAAGTTTTTCTGGTATTTTTCTGTATGTACTAATTCTTCTTGTGCCTATTTCAAACATCTGTTACTATGCCATCTTTCCCATGTGTTCTTTACATTCCATATTTTGATTTGTTGATATTAGTTCATTTTTTGTTACCTCAGAAACATCAGTAAGATCTTCTGAAGTGACTGTCGATATTTTTCTTTTGGAAACATTGAAATTATCTATACATTTTTTACTTCCATCTTTCTGTCTTTTAATACAAGTATTTGTTGTTAATCTATGTCAATCTATGTTCATCTATTTTAATCTTTTATTTAATAAGCACAAAAAAGGAAAAAAAAATCTCTATTTTCAGAATAATAGTTTAAATACAACATATTTGATTAATTTGTGAGGATTAAAATAAAATAAACATACATACTATGTCTAGATTTATTCAACCAAACATGCTTGAATGAAGATATCCTGTCTGAATATATATATATATATATATATATATATATATATATAAAAAGAAAAAGAACAGTAAGATATATAATCTGGTGTTCATATAGATATTTTTATTTTTACAAAATAGTGCTCAATGTAAATTTACAGAGCATTAATATATATATATATATATATATTATGAAAAGATAATAAAATTTATATGATCACTCCAAGTTTTAGTTTTTTGTATGAACCACTATTGGCAGGTGAGTTGTTTGCTCTGTATTGCATTTTTCATATTTTGCATTGTGTTTACAATGTTTACAGTGTTTGTGTTTATAGTCTTGGTGTCTTTTCCATAAATTTTAACATCATACTTAATGTATATATATTTTCATCAGTTCTGTGGTTGACTTTGAGTTATCTCCCTTTGTTATTGCTATTTTTTTTTGTTTCCTGTGTTGTCTCTGCTGCTTCCTTAATTGCAGTCATCAATTTGCTATTCATGTCTTCTATATTATTTCAATCATTCCACAGAGTTTGGAATCTTAATTTCTTCCTGGAATTTGGCAAGGTTCTCTCTGATTTTATAAAGATGTCTTTCCTTTTGAGATTAACTTTGTTTATCTTAATTCTAATCATGATCATGATGATCATCAGTCCCATGAATGAGTGTGATCATAGCATCACTATGCAGTAGAACACCAAATAAGTTTTTTCCATACATCTTTACTGCATTTTTTTTATTCTGTGACCTGCAAGGTCATTTGGGCACCACATGTACTTCAGCAGAAGTGGTGTTTGTTGGGCAAGATAGCCTGATGGCACCCAACCCTTTTCAGGCTGGTTTTGAATTCAGAGTTTTCCTTCTAGACCAGTTACCACCCAAAGCAATAGAACCCAGTCTGTCCTTCAATTTAGGGTGGGGGGAGAGAAAATACATACCTTTCCCAAGAGTATTAGCATGTAAGTGAATGTAATGCATCTGAATGGAATTCAAACTCGGCTCAATCCAAGCCACTATCCATTACTCCACAGTGCCTCCTCTTCATTGCATACCTATGTCTAAGTTTCTATGACCAATCTTTCAGCAATCATATCTCATTTTTTACCTGCCTCTGCTTCTTTAGCCTAAAATGGTATCTTGTAGAATGATAGTGACATGTCCATATATTGTATAAAAGTTGCCAACACTGTAGTTTGAACATAGATCGCCAGTGAGCAAACACAGGCGATTCCATTATTGAATTAAATAGATCACATGACCATAAAGGAAATGCATAAATAGGAGGTACTCTACTCTATCGTCTATTACTATACAGATTGGTATTCTCTATACTCTTTCTTTATACCGATCACCATACAGATTACTATTCTGATCACTATTTCGGGGTTACATTTCAAGTGAGTATTATTCAGCAAGTATTATTAGTGCAAGTGATATTTGAAAGTGTCTGACACCAGTATTGTTCAACAGTGTTAATATTGTTGTATCTACACTTACAAAGTCTCTAGTACAACAAGCATTATGAAATGACGAGTATTCATTGACATTACATAATTGGCAATGAGCATTTGTTGACATCACAAAACCATGCCATTTCAATTTTCTCTTCTTGACAATTGTTATGGTGCCTTTCAACGAACCATTTTCTTGTCTAATGGTGGCTCATACTCTGTCATTTATGATGCGGTCTACATAAAAGTTTCCTGGGATGGTTCTATAGCATCCCATTTCTAAAGCTTACATTCCTCAATGTAATTCTACTGTTAATATCCAAGATTCACAGGTATACAAAATGACCGAGTAAGCCCAGCTCCAAAAGTGTTTAAACTTTGAATTTTCAGACAGTCGTTCCTGTCTTTCCAGATAGTTTTTAGTTTTATGACATCTGCCATTGTTTGTGATGCTCTTTTATTTTTGTTTAATTGGAATAACCCCAAGAAAGGCAGTAATGCAACTAAAACACAAGGGGTTACTGAGAGTGGAAGAATTAGGAACGGAAACATTAATGATGAGAAGAAAGAGAAGAGAGTAATCAGCTGGACGGTAGATAGCAATTGACATTGCATTTAAATTTTTGCAGATTAAAGTTGGCTGGAAAGCATGGAGCCAGAAGGGAGTTCCACAAATGAGAAGTGCGAGAAACTGTTAGCATAGAATTTACAGCTACATCTCACTAGCTCAACTGTAAATTGATGGGATCTTGATGCTTGTCTCGCACTGCACTTAAATTCAAAAAACATTGGTACCATATGTCATGCTCTTGAAATAAGTCTATGGTATTTAGTATTATCTGAATTCATCATCATCATCATCATCATCATCATCATTATCATCATCATCAGTCCACTGACTGAATGTTGTCGTAGGGTAACTGCATGGCTGTTCAGCTGAGCAACTCCTTCGATATGTCTGTACTACATGCCAATGTTTGAGTCTCTGTGAATGGTCTCACAGTCACCAGACCATTTTCTCCTCTGTCTCTTCTTCTTTTACCAAAGCTGGTACCTTGTAAGATAGCAGCAAAAAGATTGTTGGCCATTTTGATTTGCCTTTCCCATTCAAATTCTTCTTCTAGTTGATGGTTATGATTCCTTCCAATGGTCTTGTTTCTTGTTTGGAGGCGTCTCACATTGTATCATTTATGATGCAGTCTACATAAGAGATACTGAGGATGGTTCTGTAGCATACCATTTCTAATGCTTGAATTCTTCACTGTAATTCTGCTGTTAATGTCCAAGATTCACAGTTATACAGAATGCAACAATTTAATTTCAGGCAGACAGTCTTGTGTTTCTAGATGGTTTTTTTTAGTTTTGTGACATCTGCCATTGTTTGTGCTGATATTGAAATAATGACTTTGTTGGCAATTATAAAGTAAAGTTCATGTTTTTTCCTTCATTTACAGCCGCTTCACAATTGACAAATTGTTTTCATAATTGTCATTTTGTTACTGTCTGAGAATTTAACTTGCATTCTGTTTCACTCAATTTCTTTTTCCTCTTCCAGAATTTCACTACACAAGATTTTCCATCTTTTCTATTCCCAACTTTTGCATTGAAGTCACCCATCGAAATGGAGTAATTGGTTTCCTCTCTTTCTCTCTCAATTTGAATATTCAATTTACTCAGTTGAACTTTGTGAAGTCAGTTCATAGACTTGGATAACTTTCCGAGTGTATCTTTTGCATAATCTAATTACTAGCCAAGCTATTCCGCCTGATGATTTACTGTCAAAAACTTTGTCCACAATGTTATTAGTGACTAAAAGTCCTATGTTAGTAAACTTTTATTCTCTTTTCCCATATAATAAAATAGACAGTTACTTACGTTCAGTTATAAAAGATATATTTTTTTTCTTTACTGTGAGTCTGTCTAATACAAAACACACGACTGGTGATGTTGTTCATTTTCATCATTAGCTGATCCATTCTGTAGTCTTTGCTCATCCTTTGTAGACTGAATGCATTG